CTTTCTTCCATTTCCCCCCTCCCCTCCACACACCACAAAACCCCCCCCTTTTTTTTTTTTTTTTTAACGTCGCATCCCGGAGAGGGAAAAAAGAGGGGATGTTCCCTTCGACCCATTCACTCATTTATTCATGCACGCATTGTAGACGTACTCGCAGGTGGACAGACAGAAAGGCCGAAAGGCCGAAAGGCAGGCAGGGGATGGGGGGGGGAGAAGGAGAAGAAACAAAAAAGCAGCAGCACTCACAGAACGTGAGAAAAAAAAAAGCATCGAAATAAAAACAAACAAACAAACAAAAAAAGGAACTGTAAATACACACAATTACTCGAATATATAAATAAATATATTTATATAAATCCACACACACACACACACACACACACATATATATATATAATATAATAATATATACAGACCAAGGGAAAAGAAAAGAAAAGAAAAGAAAGAAATGACTTTCACTTTACCTACTTACTTACTTGCTTACTTATATATATATACATATATATATATAAGTGTATACATGCATACGTGTATAATTGTATATATACAAATATTGTAGGTAAATAAATAGAGACACATTTATCTTTGAATTGGCCCGATAGTAGTAACAATAATAATAAATTGATGGTACGTATAAATATATAAATATATAAATATATCCTCCCTTTTGGTGCAGCCGGCCACCTCGACGCGGTGGCAGGGTTTATTAATCCTCTGTTTTTTTTTTTTTCCAGGGAGGGCGCGAAGGTAACGGCGTACTTGGATTTACGGGGGCCATGTGTAATGGCCTTTCGCAGGGGGCAGGGGGGCTAATAAGGTTATCCCTTCCCGCTGAATTCCATCGTACGCCTAACAGAGCTGCGCATTGGAGGGGTGTGTTTTCACTACGGCTGGTAAGAGCAGGAGAAAGTCACGAGCACATACACACACATATATATATATATATATATAATATAATATATATAATAATAATTATTATTGTTATTATACTCTTAAAGAAGGAAGCACAAAAAAAAAAAGACAAAAGGATATTTTTCCTTAATTTCCATCCTTCCATTTAACAGACCAAAATATATAAAAATATATAAAAATATATATATTTTGGTCTCCCCCCTCCCCTACCTCCCCCGCAGTTCCCTCTCAAGCTAACCGGTCGTATAAGAATAATATATAATAAGAATTTACAATAAATAAATAAATAAATCAAACAAACAAACAAACAAACAAGGGTGGAATGCAAATAATAATAATAATAATAATAAAAGAACATCTTACTGACACGGATAAAGAAATTATACACACAAACAAACAAAAGGACGAGATTTGCAGTAAAAAAAAAAAAAAAAAAAAAAAAAAAAGAAAAAAAGAAAGAAAAAAAAAAAAAGGTGAAAGGGGAGGGGATGTCATCTTCACTTGTATTTTCCTCCTCAGATCCCTCCTTTTTATTTTATTGTTATTTTATTGTTTTAAAATTATTTTATTTATTTCTCTTCATCTCACACTCCCCGCTCCACGCCGCCTCCTCCTCCTCCTCACCTCACCTCACCCATTCTATTCTCCCCAAGTTTTATTCTTCATTCCTCCACCCCCTCCATATTGTCAAGGTCCGGCGTAATAAATAAATAAATAAATAAATAAATAAATAAATAAATAAATATAAATATTATTATTATTAGTTTGGGGAGCTCCAAGTGTACATGTATTGCATGCGTATAAATATAAATACCCGTCTGTCTGTCTGTCTGTCTGCGTGTGTGTTATTGTTTGGGACTGGAGGAGATATAAAAAAAAAAAAAAAAAAACGAAATTAAAATAACAACACCCTCCCACACGGAAAAAAAAAAAAAAAAAGAAAAAAAAAAAAAAGGGCCTTTTCCGCAGTTTGCCAAAATGAAAACCCACACAAAAAGACACAAAACAAAAACTGACCAAAAAAAAAAAACACCCAAAAAAAAAAACTAAACTCACGAGATAAAAACAAAACAAAACAAAACAAACTCCCCCCCACAATTACATACACACGGGGGGATTCAAACCAAACCAAACTAAAAAAAAAAAAAAAAAAAAAAAGAATTCTGCAGGGGTTTGTTATGACAAGACTGTCCTTTTGTGTTTGGCCGCCACTCCCTCTCCTTTCTCCCCACGCTCTCTCTCTCTCTCTCTCGCATCTCCCCGAGTCGCTACTGCCAAATATTTGCCCTCCATATTATTATTATTATTATTTTGTTTGTTTGTTTGTTTCTTTACCCTCTTCTTTCCATTCCATTGCCACCCAATATGCAAGACAATAACATATTAGTAGCAACACACAACATACACAACACACAAGCAGTAAAACAAAACAAACACACACACACAAAAAAAAAAATGAAAGGAATAATGTGTTCTTCGTATAATAAGGAACGGTTACTTTTACGCACACAGACATAAGCGTATACATTATATAGTAAGGTAAAAAAAAAAAAAAAAGCATAATAAGAAAAAACAAAAATGAAAGGACTCTTGTTTCCTTTCCAATACATCTTTATATATATGTATATATAAAGATAAGTGCCGTCTTTTTTTTTTTTTTCTTCTCTTCTCTTTTCTTTTTTTTTTTTGTTATTGGAGGGGGTATTTTAAAAGTTGTTTTTGCCTCAGTTTCGTTTTTTTTTTTTTTTTTTCCTTCTTCCTTTCATTTTTTTCACTCCTTATTTCTCTGTTAAAAAAAAAAAAAAAGAAACTAAGCAACAACGGCAACAAAATGCCCTTCTTCCTTACACAAGAGAAGGGTTGGACATTGCGTTGTCTGGCAAAAGCATATAAAAGGTTGGCTGTGAATTCATTTGTTGCAGTTGTGAGGTAAACTGCGGCACCAACATTAATTGTGGACTGGTTCCTCCGGATATGGCAGGGGTTGGGGTGGGGGGCATGACAGGAAAAACAGTGGGTGGGTACATTGCTGGATAAAGTGTGGGAAGTTGAACGGGTGCTATCATCATCGCCGGATTGGCTGCAGCCGTTGACCCTAACGCTGGCGGATGCGGCTGGACAAGTGGCGGTATCGGTTGCACCTGAGGCTGCGGCAGCGGCAGCGGCTGTGGCTGTGGCTGTGGCTGTGATTGTGGTTGCAGCTTCAATGGGGATGGCGGTGGATGATGGACGGCCTGCAAGGAACGACCGCCAGGAGTTGAACTGCTGCTCTTCGAGGTCCGTTGACTATTGTACGCGGTGGAGGCATCCGGATGTGCCAGGCGCACCTGAATTCGGCTTCCTCCAATAATACCACCGGAGAGACTCGAAATGGCCAGCGCAGCCGAGGCGACATTCTTGTATAAAATAAAGCCATAACCCTTTGACTCCCGCGTTCCTTTTTTCCGCATGATCCGTGCGGAGCTAATGGGCCCGTACTGCGCAAAGAGGTCAAAGAGCTGCTGATCATCAAAGTCCAGGGGAAGGCTGGCAACATATACATTGCGTCCAAACTCGGACCTCTCCGTTGGTGATGGACTGCCCATTTTTTCCCCTTTTTTTTTTCGCTTTCGTTTAACTTTTATTTTGGCAGAAGTCTTTTTTTTTTTTAATATTTCTTTATTATTGTTCCTTCCTCCCTTCCTTCCTTGACGCTGCAGTTCACAAAACCCCGGTTTCAACAAATAGGCACAAAGAGGGCAAGGACCCCTCTCTACACCCATTTAAAACAAAATAAAAAAAAAGAAAAAAGAAAAGGAAAAAATAATTCAGGGAAATAAACAAAGGACTCATGCAATTACAAACCACGTTCAGATTTTGTTTCATTCTTGCTCTCCTTTTTACTGGTGTGTACCAAGCAGTAAGGAAGAGGAGGATAATTCTCGTTCCATTTTTACTTGTGCTTCTTGATGACATTCTTTGGGATTTTGTTCGTCGTTGCTTCGGTCTCGCATTGTGGCCCCTGATATAAGTCGACGTCCTCACGAGACGCGGGACGCCAATGTACACTCCGTCGGGTGGTGCCACGCACCACAGACGAAGCAGCGGACACTTGGACCGCCTTTCAGTGATGCGGCCTGACGCGGACAGGAACGAGCCATGTGATCTGTCTCCCCGCAGACGAAGCAGCGTTGTTGCGTCCTTCTCTTTGCATCCTGCCTCTCACGGGCCACCGCCTCCTCCGGTGGGGCCAATGGAGCCGTCAATGACGTACGGGGCTGTCGGTGGTCCACAACCGTCAAATGACGTACACTCTCCAAATCGTCCTTAAGAAGCCGGAGAATAGCCCGGACGACCACACTGCTGGTGGATTCCCAGCTTTCTGAAGGGTTATTGATCTTCTGACTGAGGGCCGAGTCCAATTGGTCTTTTAAATGCTTCAGCAACGTCGCATCTTCACCCCTACACTTAAAGGCCACCATGTCATCCACAACAAGTTCACCGTACTTTGGAAGGTACTCCAATCCACCTCCACTAAAAAGTATGACGTGAAGCGGGGTCACCACACTTACATCACGTAAAAACGTAGCGGAGGTTTTAATCTTGTCAACATACACAAGGAGTGGGGAGAGAAACCTCTTTTCCCTCCCCACAACGCTGGAGGGATGGATCATAACCTCCGACCCATCAAACGTAGTCAACTTGAGAAATGTTCCGCCTTTTTTACCCGCTTCAGTTTGGACACGTGCGATGTTCGGGTAAAGACCGGCCACCACACATGACAAAATACACTTTACGCTGCCTGCATTGGCGTTAAATTGCCTCCCACCGGATTCATACAAGCGGTCCTCAAGAGTTATCACAGGGTCATATAAAAATCGATCATGCGATGAATGAATAGGAGTTTCCTCAATAAATCCAGCCTCATAAAGGTAACGTTCATACTGCCGTTTGGTGGACTGAATTTGCTTGAGTGCTGGTAAGGAAAGATAGTAACGTGCACAAAGCTTTTTTGCGGCAGAAGACCCTTCGTTATATTGCATAAAAACCCAACTTGCGTAGGCAAACCAAGAAACTAAATGATCGGACATATATTCCCCTGCAAATGCTTTTCGTACCCCCTCCACTTCCGCTTGATAGTCCATCATAGACAAAAACGGACTCCGTACTGCCAAACAGGCCGCTATTGTTAAAACAGGGTCCACACAGTGCAAAATTGCCCCATGTATAATCATCTTCCCTATACGTACATCCAGTGGTAGGTTTGCTAAATGTTGACCGAGGGATGTCAGACGTTTATCCAATGTCAAGGCCCCCAGAGTGGTCAGAGCCCTCACACTGCCTCTCACAGCACGTTCCTCCGGGGGTGAAAGTGCCTTTTGAAGGTACTCCACCTCATCCCCCAAATTGAGCGAGTAGATTTGGAGAATAAGACCTTCAAGGGGTACACGGTGCATTTCACACAGTTGATGATCATCCAAGGCCTCAAACTGGGCACTGGTAAATAAACGAAAGCAAAACCCTTCTCGCACACGTCCAGCACGTCCTTGTCGTTGACGACAATTTGCCTTAGAAACATTAACGGTCACCAGTTGGGAGAGACTTTTTCTGGCGTCGTACCGATTTTCTTTCGCTTTTCCACTATCAATAACGAACACGGCATCATCAATTGTAATGGAAGTTTCCATGATGTTTGTTCCAATCACCACCTTCCGCTTCCCTTTAGGGGGTCTTTGAAAAACACCATGCTGTTCAGAAGACCCTAGAGAACTATGGAGATTGTACATCAGGCAACTATTTGACAATCGTGGATTGGACTTCAACTGCTCCATGCACCGCATGATCTCCGCCATACCAGGGAGAAAAATCAAAACCGCCCCATCGACCTTCATGACGGTATCAATATAAAAAACAACACTTTCAATAAGCTCATAGTTGATAACATCAAGGTTCATTCTTGATATGGTTTCTAGCGTCTTGGGTGCGGCATTCAACTTTCCTGTAAGGCTCTGGCCTGAAAGTTCCATCTCACGCGCATCATCCACTTCTTCAGGATCAATGTTGATTGCCTGCTTTCGATTATTTCGACGTCGTTCCTCCCTTTTTGCTTCCCGATTGGCGTACGGGGAACCATCCTCAAGGATATACCCCACCATTGGAATGATTTCCTCCAAGTGAAAGTGCTGCACCGGGTATGTGCGACCCTGAATCGAAATGACAGGGGCCCCACCAAAGTACCGTGCAAACAATTCCGAGTCCATTGTCGCACTCATAAGCACAACCTTCAGATCGGATCGTCGCTGAATGAGGTCACGTAAAAGAATCAACAAGAAATCTGTGTCCACCCCACGTTCATGGATTTCGTCCACAACAATGTGGCTAACAGACCCTAAGAACTTCTCCACCTGTAGGCGTCGCAACACAATACCTGTCGTGCAGTAGGTAATTTGCGTGCGTCGTGATACACAGCTTTCAAGGCGGATCGTGTAACCCACAACACCTCCCACTGCCTCATCACGTTCTTCGGCAACTCGAAGAGCCACAGATGTTGCAGCGAGTCTTCTTGGTTGGGTACATACAATGTTCGCCGAACCCCCCATGCCGGATTCACACATAAATTCGTACAGGTACTGTGGTATCTGCGTTGTCTTTCCGCTACCTGTTTCCCCACCAATAACGACAACCTGATGCTTTGAAATGATTTCACGAAGTTCTTCACGGACCTGAAAAGCAGGCAGTTGTTCACGTGCCTTTTTCATCGTTCCACTGGTTCGAAGAGATTCCCACTCCGCCATCAGTTTAGCGTCAAGCGACTTATCTGTCTTTAAATACTCTCGGCGCACAATATCCCCTTCATCTTGGACACAACCGACCGTCTTGAGTCCAATTTTTACCGGCATGGGGTACGATGCATGATGATCTTCAGTAGATGTTGGGTTTACACCTGGGGTAGCAGTTAAGGCGTTTACAAATGCTTTTCTCTGTGCGTCCAAGTTGATCTTTTCTTCTTTACCCGGCCGTTCCTCCTCTTTGATACCTGAATTGCACGTAGAAATAGGCATTACTTCAAGTGACGCAATTACCCCATGCAAAGACGACATCAGGGCCACCAAACAGCCTTCTCCTGCAAGTCCATTAATGGTTTCCACAGCCGCATCAAGTATAGAGCGGCGCAATGCCGCGGGCAATTCTTTGGTATCCGCGTGGAAAACCCCGAGAATGGGTAATGTCCCCACCTGATTCCCGCATGGCTGTGCAAGGATCAACGGTGGCTCAGCTGGATATTGATCAGGGACACGAACACAGACCACTACACGCTTTCCGCTTCCCGATGAAAAAGAAAAGTACATTTCACAACCCTCAAATTCCTTGTCGTCAATTTGTCTTACGCCTATAAAACTTTCATCAAAGAGGCTTTGTATGGTTTCAAGTTCATTCTCCAAGATGGCATCCTCTTCCGAGGCCATGATTACATCCACTTCTCCCCGAGAGTAAAATAACATATGGGAAAACAACTCAAAACAACTATTTACCAAAAATGACTGATAAGGGCCATCTTCAGCAAGCAACTCTGTAATGGAGGTGAATGCGGGAATCTTGGATGCTCCCTGCAAATCTGTCACGTACTGTGTGGTAAGATCAGGTGGGAAACCAAGCCCTTCGTACAATCGTTGTAGGGTTTCGTATGGCGTCAAGGGGGAGTTGCGTTGAAGTGTGATTCTTATCCCTGCATTGGCATCAAAATGTTTCTCAGGCACCGGCACCGCCCCCCCTGTCGCCGCATGGTGCAGGACATCAATGATCATCTCCCTCCCTGCCCGAGAAAGCATGGAAGGAGCCGCCGTGGACGATGTGGGGGTGCGATTTCCACCTCTGCCACGATGCGTCTTCGTCGTCCTTGGCTTCCGCTGTCTATTCGGGCCCATTCCTAACACTGCATAGTCACGTACACAAACAAACAACAGGAAAAACCACGAGAACAACAACGACAAGAAGAAGAAGAAAATATATCTACATATATATATATACCCCACTCTGCACGCATCCTTCTGTACGTGTGTAATTCCTCACAAACGTAAAAAACAAAAAACAACAAAAAACAAAAACAAAAAGAGAAAAAATTATCTCTTGCGCCCTCCTCCCCACCGCCCTTCTTTTTTTTTTTTTTTTTTTTCTTTCCTCTTTCTTCTTTCTTTCTTTTTTGTCCCTTAATTATTTTCTTCTCCTTCTCTTCCTCCTCTTTATTTCTTTAAAATTACACCCATTTTTTTTTTCTTTTTTTTTCCCCCCTCTTTTCCCTTCACATCAGTCTTTCATTTCTCTACGCATATAAATATATATATTTTATATTTTTATGTATTTTCCTTTTTTTTTTTTTTTAATTTTTCCTTTCAAGTCGCACTTCTTATTTTATTTCATTTTTATTTGCTCGCTTCTTCCATTCCCTCCTTCCCCCCCTCTCCCTCGGTGGATTTGATGCACCACAGAAAACACAAAACACAAAACAAAAAACAAAACACAAAACACAAAACACAGCGGCAGACAACAACAAATACTCACATAGATACACACATACAAAAAAAAAAAAATCCCTATTTTTTTTTTTTTTCCCTTTTCTTTTATTTCCTTTTTTTTTTTTTTCCTTCTTTCTTTCTTTCCTTTTTTTTTTTGCTTATCTGTGTGTGTGTGTGTGTTGTTGTTGTTGTTGTCTGCCGCTGTAGAGTCAACGGCCTTTCATAAAAATAATAATAATAAAATAAAGTGAAAAACAAAAACAAAAAGAAGTCCGGATGTGCCTTGGCCGTTGCAATGTTGGCAAATATATTTATTGTTGATATTGTTAAGAAGTTGGCTTTCATAAGTTTGTAATAGCGTTGTTGGAGGATATGATATGTAGTAAATGCTCGAAGACTAAACCACAACACAATAATAATAATAATAATAATAATAATAAACAAAAGTAAAGGTAAAAGTAAAGAAGAAAAAAACAAAAAACAAAAAACAAAAAGAAATAAATGAGGATGGGAGGAACGTACGCATCGCTGCCTTTTTTTCTTTTTGTGTCTTTTTCCTTCTTTTTTTTCCCTGCCGTCTTTCTCGTTTGTGCAATGAGAGGGACGAAAAAGGAAAAAAGTCACAAAAGGAAAAAAAAAAAGAAAAGGAATCGCAACGTACTTTTCCCCATTACCTCCACCAGCTGCGGTATTTACTTCACACCTCATTGACTCATAATGTACGGTTGAGGGACTAACAAGACATACGTCGGCGAAACCGTATTGCTTATCGTGGCTTGTTGACAATAGAGGGGATAGATCCTTTTTGCCGATGCTTCGGGTCGGGCCAGGCGCACTTGAACACGTGTATGGGCAATGGTGTGCCCCTGAAGGGCAATCACCGCGTTGTATGCATCCTGGTACCTTTCCATCAGTACAAATCCGTAGCCTTTGCAACGCCCTTTGTTTTTGTCTTTAACAAGAGCGGTAGAAACAATCCTTCCAAAAGGAGCAAACAAGGCGTGGAGCTCCTCTTCTGTGTAATTTGCCGGGAGACTGGCAATGTACACATTACGGTTGTACGGGGAATCAAAAGACATCGTAATTAATTGTCAGAGATCACCTTCAGGGCTATTATTATTATTATTATTATTTTATATTTTATCAGTCAAAGGAAGGAACGGCAACAATGTGAATGACTAAAGAGGGTGCATGCAATTCCAGATTATCAACCAAGGGGAAGGGAAAAACAAACAAAGACACAAACAAACAAAAAAAAAAAAGGGTAAAAGAAAGGGGGGAAGTAGGCGGGTATGTGTATGCGTACGTTTTTTTGATTCAACAAGCAGAAAGATGGAACAATCGATTCCATAACGATTACGGTCTTTCACCGGGTATCGACATCTTCGATATCAGGCACCCTGCCTCTTTTTCCACTCCTCTTCGCCTCCTTAAAAGCGTTGGGGCATAGATCCGAAGCTGGGCACTCGGAACAACGCGGTAAGCGGGGGGTACATATGGTTTGCCCTAAACCCACAAGCAGCCCATTTATCTCACCCCAGTACTTCCGTGGGAGCCAGGACTCGAGTGCCTTTCGTGTGTCCTCCGGCGTTTTCACCGTCGATGGGACCCAAAGAAAGCGTTGACTGATGCGGTGAACGTGGGTATCCACACCAATGCCCAACACCACTCCGTCTGCTTCCTGGAGAAACAGATGGGCCATCTTGGGACCAATGCCGGGAAGCGCAATGAGATCCTCGTAGGAATGCGGCACCCTCCCTTGATGCCTTTTCAAAATAGCATCTGTCGCCTCTTTAATATGTTTAGCCTTTTTGTTATGAAAGCCTACTTTGGAAATAAATCCATCAAGTGTCTTCTCCGGCATCTTCGCTATCACCTCAGGGGTACACCCGATTCGAATAAGGGCGTGCATTGCCGCCGCCGTCACATGATCTTTTGTCTGAGCACTCAGCATCAGAGCCAATAGGATATGATACCGTCTCGTCTCGTGCAACGCTGCTTTATCAAAGAGTTTCGAGCATCCCAGCGTGTCTACCGGAGCATCCAGCCCCTCTCGGAGTTCCTTCACCCTGACGTACAACCTCTCCCAGTTGGGCGGTGGCTTGAACGCATGCTTCTTCATTTCTCCGCAGGTAGAAAATAAAGAAATAATAATAATAATAATAATAAAATTAAAATAACAATAAATAAAATAAAAAAAAAATCACCATCATTTCTTCGTTGTAAATTTCCCGCCTAACAAAACACACAAACAACATCAACATTTCTCTTCCTTCAACGTTCCACGTCCATTCAACTTCAATGCTCGCCCGGGCAAAAAAAACCCCAAAACAAACAAACGGACACATACACACACAGAAAAAACAACAACAACAACAAATGTCTCTAGGACGCCTTCAGTTCCTCTAGCTCATTCACGTACGTGTAGGATGAAAATGCCAAAAAAAGGTAGCGGAACCACACGAGTTGTGACCTATGCAACCTCATTGCAAGAAAACTCGTTAAAAACGAGATTGGAGGCACGAGAAACACAAAACGATGCTGGTGACCCAATAAACTAAAATTTGTTATGTACTGAACAGCCGCCAATACTCCACTGTACTTCCCCAGTAGACTTCTAGTGCGCAAGCTCAAAAACACAATCCCTGGTGGCATGTTCTCCTTCACAAGAGAGACCCCATTGTGGGTTGCAATGTGGTTTGGGTGATGGGAAACACCCCATTGGTCAAAGGTGACGACCGTGCGAACATTCCTCGCCTTTTGAAGGTACAAAAGCACCTCTTGACGAATCAAACCCGCATCCCACATTTTGTTCATGCCATCTTGCAAAGCGGGATGATTCACTATCTTCACATTGTTTCGGTGAACGCCCATAAACTGGGCACTAAGGCCGAGTTCCTTCTCGCGAAGCGCGCCAAGCCCCTCATAATTTCCATTCGACAGACAGAGAAAGTGAACCTTCACGTCGTATCGCTTCAGATGCTCCAACATTGGCGAAAAGAACATTGCCTCATCATCTGGGTGAGCAAACACAAGGAGGACATCCCCAAGTATACGTGGCCGAAGAGCGGCTGACCTTCGTTGCCACTGCAGAAGAACCGCAAGAATGAGTGCAAGAAAAGTCACAGCGAAAAAAACGGACATAAAACACCACTTTGGGGATTCCTCAAACAAACAAACAAAGGAAAAAAAAAAAAAAGGTCCCACGAACAAAAGATCCTATATCGCTAGAACTCTTCATTATCTTTCCAACCCCCCAGTGGCTAGATTATTGCTTCTCATCACTTCGTCAATGTGAAACTGCACCATTACAATGGGGAGGATTTCAAATACACACAAACACACATGGAGCATCTAACGAACCAAAGAAAATAATAATAATAATAATAATAATAATAATAGAGGAAACAAAACTGGATAAAAGAAATACAAGCGATGGAGGGTCACTCTAATGACGGAAGTGTTCTTGAAGGTGGTTCAGCTTGCTAAGCGAGATCAATGTGACATCCTCCTTGCTTTTTCCATTTATTCGCCGTAGTTGTTGCCGGGCTGCCTCTAGCCGACTCTTCTTCGAGACGTTACGGGCATCATCATCATCGGGAGGCACGGAAAACGGCACATGCGCCATGAAAGGTGTACTGGAAGAAATATCGGCAAAATTCATTGTGGCTTCTGGAGAGAGTCGACATGCACATGACGCCCCTTTTATTTGGGGCATATCGGAGGAATTTTCGTTTTCATATCCTTCGTGCCAATTTCTCCATCGTTTTCTTTCCTTCTCTAATAATATGTCTTTTGCAAGGAGCTCACTTTCTTGCCGCTTCAGTTGCTGATGCAACTCATGTTGCATCTCCTCTAGCCGCTTCTCTTGAAGATGGAGCTCTGCCCGGTATTGTGACTCCTTCTTCTCCATTGTCTTCTCATGTAGCGCCACAGAGACGCTGTGCCTTATCTTTTCTGTCTCCACCATGTCAGCAAGTCGACGGACCTCTTTTTCTTTCGCGGCACACTTCTCGTCGGCACACTTCAGCTTCACAAGCAAATCTTCCTTTTCCTTTACCACCGCAAGAGACTTTTTTCGTTCTTCATCCAACAAGGACTCCAGGGCGTGTTGCGACAAACAATTTTCATCTGTGAGAATCTTCATCTTTTCCACGGCTTTTTGCCAGGAGGCCTCTATATCATTCCGGGTAGATTTCAATGCATCCGTTTCCTCTTTCAGTCGAGAAACCTCCTCCACAAATAATTTTAACGTGCTTTTCCAATCGCCCTCATTCCGCTTGCCGTATGCCATTGATGATAAGGGGGCGACCTTTGGGAGTCTCTGTGCCTTTCCAGCGCTCATTGCCATCTACAGGAATATCTCCACTTTGGAATAGCATGGATAAAAGCAAAACAAAGGAAAACCAGCAAAAGAATTTCTCTGAGCACCACAAAAATCACCAAATAAAAAGATGAAAAGTCAAAACCACGCCGACAATAAAAAAAAAAAAAAAAAAATAAAACGCCACGAGGAAATACATCAACCAGAAAGATGCTTGTCTTTTCATTCAATCAACATATATCACCATTATATTCTTCTTCTTTTTCCTCGTCCACCTTGTCAACGTCCATAGGTCCAGACCCTGTAAACGGATAAAAGACCAGAGAATAGACCTCCTATACTAACTAGACCCCCGACACCCTTCCACTGGTTCAGGTTTGACAAGGCTACAAAAAGGTCAAGAAGCAACTTGAGCTCTGTAACAAAAATCCAGTGCAACTCAAAGTCTTTCCAAAGAAGCTCTTGATAAGAGTTCACTATAATCTCATTTTCTTCCCCCACTTCTAACATTTGTACTTCCTCCTCCTCGTCCTCCTCCTCATCATCATCCACCTTCCCTTTGCCCAAGGGATTGGATTTGCTCATACGTCGCCGCAGCTTATCAACATGATCGTACCTAGACAAAAGCGAAAAGGTTTCCATTGAAAGCAACAGTTCCTTTTTGGCCGGCTTCTGTGACGCGTCGCGGATTCCCTGCAACAACCGGAGCGTGTTTAGAAATAGATCAATCAAGAAGACAGGAAGTGCACATCGAATAGACACACTAATAAGTTGGTCTGCCACCTGGCTATTAAAAAAGCCCTTTTGGGTAAGGAAGGCTACATCTTCGCACAAGGACTTTACACACATGAGAGCTCGGGCAAACATATCACAAATCATCTGACATTGAATGAAGAGCGCAATCCACTGTCCTCCATGAACTGGAATGTAAACAAGTTCTGAGCACTTGATCAATGTCAACCTCATTCTAACAAATTCCCCAACAAAACGTCCCACTCGAAACAGCCTTCGGGTGTTCACAATGGTCATCAAATTTCTTTCAACAGCAGTGAATTCTGCGCCCGGAAGATAATTTTGGTTGTAACTGACGGAGTCCATCCAAAGTTTTATCCTAAGAAAGTATTGCACCACTTTAAACAATTTGTCTCTACCCTGGTGGGTTTGCAAAAGTTGCCTTAGACGCGTCTTGGCCGTAATGTTCTCAAACGGATTGCTTCCCAAAACACGAAGGGTATCATTTTGCATTTTGCTATTTGACTTCTTTTCCCCCCCCTCAACTATTTTGTTGAAAATAGCAAAGATACACCAACAATGGCGGAAAAAAAAAGTATAAACAACTGCAAGAGAAAAGAAAAAATACAAAAAAAATATAAGGGTTTACTTCTTGGTAAACAAATAAATGTATACGCGTACGCACGTTATATATTGCTCACGGTCTGAGAGAGAGAAAGTTTGTGTGTTAGAAATAAAGGATCCTCATCCTACACTTTCTCAGTTGAGCTTATTGGCGCCGTTTACGCAGATCTAATTCCCCGTGGGTGAGTGTGTTCATAAGCCATTCGGCATTCAGAATCCTACACATTTTCAGTTGGCTTGCATTCCACTTTTTGGATTCTAGTTTTTCAACCAACGCCTGGAGAGCGGTATGTGGATCCTTGAGTGCCTTGCTACCGACACCTTTATTCTCCTCTTGGCGCAATTGCGCCTCGCGCTTCAATCGGGCTACTGTCTTTTCATCAATTTTTAACTTGTATACAAGTCGCCCACGCAGCGTTCGAGACCCAACAACTTCGTCGGAATCTTCTGCTCCGGAAGAATGTTCACGGTTGGGGCACATCTCAAACGTAGTCCATAAAGATACATCCGGTAAAACAGGATCGGGGTAAAAATTCAAATCTGTAGAAAGAGTCAGGTGCTTCAATGGTGTCACCCCTTCAAAAACAGGTTCCTGTTCCTCTTTACGAGCTTTGAAGAGATCATCTACGTATTCAAGCCAATCAAGTTCCTCATCGGAACACGGAATATAATTACCAACGCGATAGCGCTCAATAATTGGTTTACGTGCAAAATCCACGCATCGTTCGGCACGTCTTCTTATTGTTTTTGTTAGCGAAGGCAAACCCAAAATAGATTCAGCATGAACAAGTTGGTTCCAACTAGCTCGTATAAATCCCTCATGCTGCGTAGATGAGAGCAACTCAATTTGACGCTCTGCATATCCAAGAACTTCGCGCTCATTTTGTTGCCAAAGATGATAATTAACCGCCTCATTTGATAGCAATACGGCATCTTTCAAAGAATTTGCGGCGCAAGAGATACCTCTTTCATAAACCCTCGCGGCCATCTGAATATCATTCAAAACACACTGCTCTGCGAAAGCCCATTGATGATAAATTCTCCAATCACTAAGAGAATTTGCAGTTGCAATTTTTCCAACATCTCGAAAACGTTTTCTATTTTGTAAGGATGCATTTGCCGCATTTGCATATAATCTTTGTAAAAATATTCCTTTATTCAAAATATCATTAAAACTATTCACTGATTCAAGATCTGAATTGGAAAGTAACGCATCCAAGGATCGCAGGGCGATGGAGTTATCACCAATCAAAAAACGGCCTTTTTCGACAATTTCCCGAGCTTGTATTTCATCCTTCAAGTCTACGGCCACAAAACATGCATAAGCATACCAGCAGATATCCTCATGGGAAAACTGACTACATAACTGGCGGAATGCAAGTTCAATCCGCCTCAAATAAAGATCTTTTGATAGGAGGCATTCTTCATATTTTTCAAACATAAAATTTAATAAGTTATTCCATTGAGCAATGACTGCATCTTTACGCGCACGATTG